ATGATCTAAGATCTCTGTCGCCTCATTTCTAAGCTGAATATTCGAATTACCAGCATCGATAGTTCCGTTCAATAGAATGAGTCGTTTTTCCAGATCTTCCCAGCTAGGAAATATCGTGCCACCCTTCAAAAGTTTGCTTTTACCAGATGATCTATGCATCGGTATCTGCGCGAACTTGTTAAGATCATTGAATATCTGTTTTGCTTTTGAAGAGTACTGTTTTTTCGGGTCGAATTTCTTTGTCAACAGATCGATGATGCCTTTGTCTCCCTGTCTTTCGTAAACAAGTCCACCGGTTGAAGGATTGCTCACTTCGACAACCATTTCATCTAACAATCGTTGAAGATTTATCAAGAGACCACCGTACTGCCCTTTACTACCGACTTTGTAGACATTTCGCTTCTTCTGTTTATATTTGCGGATGCCCTTACCCTGCGTGACAAGAATCTTCCCACCTTTCGCGAGTAGATTTATGCGCTCCAAATATTTTTTCAGTACGGTGACTTCGCCGTCTAAGCTCTCTATTTTATCATTATTCTTTACTTTATCTTTCGAAAGGCCGGCCTTGACGTGGTTCATTCTCTTTGCTTTATCGTAAACATCTGTCTGTAGCTCATCAAGATTTAAATCGCCTTCAAGCATTTTTTGGTATACATATTTTAGGCTCGGGAAACCGATGTTTTTAATGATATCAATATCTGCTTGATTAAACCCGATCTCAGGGTCGGGTATTTTAGTTTTTGGTTTTGGTAGGGCTTCAAGAAGAAGAGGGGATTCGGGTGGACTTTCAAATGAGTCAAGCTCTTTGAGAAAAGAGAGATCTGTAGACAGAACGTTTTGATTCTCTGCCAATTTTTGAATAACTTTGTTCTGGTTCTCATCTATCGTTTCTTTCACTTGCTTGACCTCATCAACAATAGGCCTAAAAATTTGTTCTCGCTCAATGGTGAGGCCCTGCTTTTGATCGTTTATGTCTTGCAGTTTCCCTTTGAGTTTCATCATCGCGTGTTCAACTTCGAGACCCTCTTTGAGATCTTTTGTAAAAAGTTTAAGATCCATGTCTGTTAATGAGCAAGATTATTTTATGCGAGATTTTTATCAGACAAAGATGAATCAATCTACACGTGGCATATAGACCTTATTCATAAATGGCCGCCGCGCGGGAACGGACTGGTTTCGAATGCATGAAAGCGAGGCTTGGTAGGCCAGAAAATTCTTGGAGAGCACATTTGTGACCGTATAATTTCTCAAATAATATTGTTGAAGTAGTCTAAAGGTTTTGAGGATATTGGCAGGAAAAATATTTCTTAGTCACTAAACGGGATATCCCTGAGTTAAAGAAAGATTTCCGCGTGAAGAGCCTTAGAGATGCCGACAAATTGCTGTGTCCCGCTCTGTACGAAGAAGGACAAGCGGGACAAGGAGACGGGTGAAAAAATTTCTTTTTTCCGTTTTCCAGAGGAGGAAAACCTAAAAAAGCGATGGCTTCATGCTATAAGAAGAGATATCGGAGCGAATTTTTCCTTAAATGGGGCAACTAGAGTTTGTTCCAGGCATTTCAGGAAAGAAGATTTGCAGAGAAGTCTTAGTGGAAAAGTTAGCCCCACACCAGGAGCTGTGCCGAGTCAATTCGTGTGGAAGCGAAGTTCGCCTCGTAAACGAGCACCACCGACACCACGCTGTACGGCTACAACAGTGACAAAAAAAAAAGCGCTTGAAGTTAGGGAGGCTGTGGATTCTTCCACCGAATGCAGCGAAATTATCAGTGAGCATGCTACATCAACAAATATGGCGGACTTAACAGTGGAAATGGAAAACACAACACAGGAGCGTGAGTGCAGCACTGATTTTGTCAAGAAATCAGAAAAAGATTCATGCATAGCTGAGCTTAAGGACAAAGTTGCCGCAGCACTAACGAATAATGAAGAACTGGAGAAAGTGGTTTCAAAACTTAAAGAAAAAGTTGTGGATCTTGAGCGGAAATACGAGAAATGTGAGGAGCGGTTGTTTTCCTTTAAAAACATCGCCTCAAATGACTCACTAGTAGCATTTTACACCGGCTTTCCAAACTACCAAACAATGATGGTCCTGTACGAATTTTTGGATCCTGGTGAGCAGGGTGAGAACATTAACTATTGGCTGTCTGGAAAAGGTTTTGATAGCACCCCCAAGTCTGTGAAAAAAGGAAGACCACGGATCTTAAAACCAGTGGACGAGTTCCTTCTCACTTTGTGTAGGTTGAGGCAAGGTTTTGCTGAGTTGCATTTAGCCCAATTATTTAATATTTCTCAGCCAACTGTTAGTCGCATCTTTATCTCCTGGATAAACTTTTTGTATTTAAAACTTGGCCATATTAATATCTGGCCATCCAGAGAACTAGTTAATGAGACAATGCCTGATGATTTCAAGGCAAAGTATCCTACCACAAGGGTAATCATTGACTGCACAGAGGTGCGCTGTGAAATGCCTAGTAGCCTCCTTTTAAATAGTGAGCTCTTTAGTTCATATAAGAACCATACCACTTTAAAGGCATTAGTGGGGATTTCACCTAAAGGGGGTTTCACATTTATTGGGCAGCTGTATACTGGAAGCATATCTGACAGGGAAATTGTAGAGCGGAGTGGCTTTTTGAATCTTCCCTTTTCGAAAGGAGACACTGTGATGGCTGACAAAGGCTTCACCATTGATGATATTCTTCCCCTAGGAGTCTCCTTAAACATCCCCCCTTTCTTGGGAATGTCTGAGCAGATGTCAGCCGAAGATGTGATTGCAACACAAGAAATTGCTAGCTTGCGAATCCATGTTGAGAGGGCCATTAACAAGGTGAAGAATTTTCGCATATTTGATGGGGTTATTCCATTCACCTATTTTGGGGTAGTAAATCAAATGTGGTGTGTGTGTGCAATGTTGTGCAATATGCATGATCCCCTCATCAGTGCTTGACCTATTAACATAAACTTAATAAATACCCCTCGTTGTTAATAAAAATAAAATTTGTGCTGTTTTTCCTATGCAAGAGATTGGTGTAAACACAACATGTATTTTAATGCCTTTCAACACTTGTATATGTTGTAGTTCAGTTTTATCCTTGGTTCAAATTTTATTTTCCTTTGTTTCCAACTCATTATCATACATAAACATGACTGAGAACAAAGGAAAATAAAATGCTTCTGGGAAATTAACGTCTTTTTACCCCTTACCCTTTAAGAGACGGGACCTCCGGCTTTACGTCCTATCCGAGAAGACGAAACAATGTGAGTGAAGTGTCTTGCTTAAGGACTCAACGTTAAGCCCCAGCCAGAACTTGAACCCGGGCCGTTTAACCCAGAGTCCAGCGTACTGACCACTGGACTACTCACGCCTCACTTCTCTTTCACGTGATGACTTATTGTATGCAAATTGGTACCTCGTGATTAGCGCGACACGTTGTAAAAAAACCTGAGCGCTTGCGAAATAGCTTCATAGCTGACAATGAGTAGAATGGAGACTGAGAATATGCAATTCGACGATACTGATTTAA